GAAATTCGGTATGTAATATTTTCTTAATACCGTGATGATGTACCAAATATGGGTGAAATCGGTTCACAACCACGCCTGAAATCTCGATTATCACTTTAACATGCGAGAGTATAAAATGTTCGGTGACACCCGAACTTAGCCCTTCCTTACTTATTTGGGTTATTTTTGTTGTTTTATATTTTCTACTTTACAGTTATACATGTGAAAACTTCATTAAACATTTTAATATATAGCGTTTTTTTTTTTACTTTTGCTGTACAATTATCATAATATTATAGTTTATTCACTACCACTATTTGTTAGTAAATCGGATTTTTTCATTATTCAGGTATCAGGTATGAGATTATTCTAATTTCAAGACTTGTTTCCAGAAAAGCAAAACAGATCCGTTAACTTATCCTCTTTACAAATAATCTTGGTTCTTACATTAAGATCTTGGTGACTTTTAGACGAAAAATAATATATTTTTTGATATTTCTATAGTGGGTTAAGTTATTAACTCAGATGAATTATGTCCGACAGAGAAGAAATTTGTATTTTAAGAAAGCACTTAGTAACTGGTTACGAGTATAAATAAGGTGTGATCCAAGTAGAGGTTCTTTTTCAATAGCCTGTCAAGCTGTTATGGCTATTTTTTTCCTGCATTGTTTGGAATTTCATCATGGAAGAATTACGCCTGAATAATTTTTACAAATCGTTCAACTTTATCATTAAAATTCACTTTCTGGCGCTTCGCTCATCTTATGGTCAACATAATTGGCCTAGTGTGCATACTATTCGCAATACCATCTTCCATCTTGAAACCCAGCTAATATTCCACCGATTAGACCATGACCAACACGCAGCAAAAAAAATATAGCTAAATCGCTGATAGTGTACAGGAAAACCATGGAGAGTCCGTTCGGCGTCGTTCACAGCAACTCGAACTGACGTACGGAACGACTTGGCGCATTTCACGTTGGGATCTTAGATTAAAAGCGTACAAAATAGAGCTTGTGTAAGAACTGAAGCCGGTCAATCTTCCCAAACGACATAGATATGCTTTACGGACTTATGAGTTCCAAATTCCAAGTTCCAAGAAGATCCGATATTTCCAAGCCAAATTTTGTTCAATACCGAGGTCCATTTCTGCCTCGTTGAGCAAGCAAAATTGCCGCATTTGGGACGATGAGCAACCTGAAGAGATTCAGGAACTGCCATTTCATACCATACAGAAAAAACAAGGTTTTGGTGGTGTTTGTAGGCCGGTGGAATTTTCAAAATTTTCCGGTGAGTGCGGGGACTGTTATCGCGCCTAGATAACCGACTATTTCATGCCTGAAATTAAAGCTCCTGATCTGTGCAACTTTTTGTTTCAACAAGATGGCAACACTTCGAACACAACGCATAAATCAATGTATTTCTAGAGAGAACACTTCGGTGAGTAGATAAATTCACGTATTGGGCTATTCCATTAGCCATCAAGATCCTGTGGAAATATGCAAAGTCTAAAGTCCTTGCAGACAATCCCGCTTCGATCGAGGCCTTGGAGCAAAACATCGACAGTTACCAGACTAAATGCTCGAACGAGTCATCGAATATTGTACTCAATGGATGGACTATCTGAAACGTGGTCACGGCCAACATTTTAAAGGGATAATTTTCAAAAAATAAATGCCAAAAAATATTCTTTCGAATGTTAATAACCATTCCTCATCAAATTTGAAGTTTCTGTGTTTTTCTTTACAAAAAAATAGGGAACCTCGAAATGGATCACCCTTTAGTTATTTCTCAACATGGCTTTCTTTATCGCTTAGATTATGGCAGGATGAAATTAATTTCTATGATAAATAAATTTCCGATTATTTTTTTACAATTTCGCAATTGTTCAAAAAGGTGATTTTGAAGCTTTAATTTGTATTCCTTAATTCGATGCGATAATATTTTGGTGTATGGAAGAAACCTATCAAAAAAGAAAATTTAATTAATCCCGTATCTAGAAAGAGGGGTAAAATAACGTATAAAATATCGGAAAGTTAGTAGAAAAATTACTTATAAAAAAACTATTCGGAATATCTCCACATTTCGAAAATATTCGACTCGTAATGTTAACAAAAACAAAGTAAATCGAATAATTGTCATAATCGATTGAGCTCAAGCGTTCCTTCGTTGAACAGCATAAAGTTTGTGAGTAAGCCGTAAGGAAGCTATGAATAAAGTATCAGTTTTTTGCGTTGAGAACAAAGTATTAGTTAATTATTTGAATTTCATTTTTTTTTTTAATATTTAATTGCGCTTTTTATATCAAACTTTTGAAAATTTTAATTAATTTCTTTTTTAATACTATATATTTTTCATATTAAACATTCAATTTATTTCTATCCATGAAATTAACCTTCAAATATTATCTTAAACAGTGAATATTAGTTCCTCATTACTAGCTTCTTAATTTCATATTTTGTATGTATAATCAAAAATACATAAACAAATAATAAAACCAATAATAAGCACTGTGGAATTAGTAGTAATTATTAACTATAGTTAAAATTTATTACAGCTCTATGAAAAAATAATTATTTCAATGCATTTTTACTAACATTTCTCTCTATTTTATCGATTTCTTGCTTTCATTGGGTATGCCACGCAATTGTCGATAAACTGTGACCGAAAAAAAAAAATGTTAACATGCAAAGATCACGCGTAAATAGCTCATAACTAAGATCAAGGAAATTTTAGAACAAATTGTTGATTTAAACGGTAATTCTGAGACTTTTTTTGAAATCATTATCAACTTAATTAGTCAATTGTATACCTTTGGGCGCTCGAAAAATATCGGAGCACGTAAGAGCCTGGATGTAAATTAACATACCAAGGGCTAACTACTAAAGAAGATGAAAAAAATGTTGGTAGCGACATACATAAAATTTTCTTTAACACAGTGAAAAAGACTTAAGGGGTTACATGGGTTGCCTCGGGTAAAAAATAGCATTTTTTCAACAGTTTTTTATCATATAAAAAATTAAATATTTTATTCGACTTTTTCATTGTTACATATATCTTTGTTGAAAATTTTGGATAAAAATATTTTAAACTCGGCTATTGTGATAACATTTCCGCTGACTTTTTTTCAGAACTTTTCTTAAAAAAATTGAAATTTAAATAAAAATTTCGCGAAATTTTTTTTTTCAAATAGTTGTATCGAAAAAACTCCTTAGTCCGAGTATTTAAGAATTGTATACCAAAGATTGGTGTAAAATTTCATGAATGAATTTCATGATGTAAATTTCAAATATATATTCGATCTACCAATTAGTCTAGTCAATTATAATTCCACAATTATTTATTCATTTATTTTTTAACAAAAGAATCCTCGTTTCAGCCGCTGAAATAGGACGCGCCGTAGAGGAGCTGGTTACAGTCATAACCGAGGAGATGATCGAACAAACGCAGAGTCAAGAAAACGATCGCGACGCCTTGGACGATGAGGATGAGGACAGTGAAAGTGTGTCCACAGCGATAACTGCTAAAACAATCATAAAACCATTAACGGCAACAACGAAAACCAAAACCAACGTAACAACCACCAATAGCACAACTGCAACGATACTAAACTAGGGCAAGAGCTAACGGAAAACTAAAATGTAAAGCGATATAAATGATGTATGATTAACAGTTAACGTGAGAGTGAAAAAAATTTGGTAAAAGTGAGTGAGAAAATTGTGTGAAGCGTAAAGGAGATGAAGGTAGACGTAAAAACTGAAGCAGCACAAAGGGGAAGAGTCAGTCAAAAAATGCTGAAAACAATTTAAGAACGGATCCGGAACTCACGGTAGCTGGGAGAAACGGAGACCCCGATCGGTTCATATCTAAATATACATTTGCGTAATATTGATATATATCATTGCAATGAAGCTAACTTCTTGCTTAGTGTAAAACAAAAATATTGAGAAAAACGCAATTGTTTAAATAAATATAATTAAACTTAGTTACAAATACATACATATATATATATACTTAATATGATATACATACATATGAATTTAGCGAAAAAACGGAGAATCAGTTATCAAATGCATACATATATACAAATTAAAAGCTTCGAATTCGAAGCAGTAATCGAAAAAAGCAAATTTGCGGCAAATTTTAATTGATTTTAAGTAAGCTCGTTAATTAACATAATCGAATTATGCTGCTGATTAATTAATAACAATGATTGATTAACTACAATGAAAGCTAAGAAAAAGCTCCACGCAAAAACGGCGATTGTTCGCTGTAGAACTTGCTGCAGTGAAAAAGCGCTGAAGCAGAGCATAAAGCGAAGCATGTAAATTAAAATTAAGCAAATTTAAAGGAAAATCAAGCAAGTTGAAAGCAAAAATTTGCTACATCAATGAGCAACAACAACCTGTGCTAATTTGCCAAGAAGCTTTCACAAATATTATAGTTTCCAGGAAATAGAAATTATGTATATTTTAATGTTACTTTTTTTTATTTAAAACGAAATGTTGTAGTTGTAAAATAATCTCCGTTTAATTTGTACAATTTTTTGCAATAAGCACACCACAACAATTTTGTATGAAATGCCAATAAACAAACAGAAGTTTATTGCAATAGTTGGTAGCTTGTAAAACATATCACGATACAAACGAACTTAACTCTACTCAAATAGTTTCAGCAACATTAGCCACTCAAATAGATGTTTTCTAATAAACTAAAATTAAAAAAAGCACACACACACACATAAAAATTGCCAAAGCCCTAAAATGGAAAAAGGCATATAAAAATAAAAATTAAAAAATTAACTTATATAAATATTAAGTAAGCGCTCTTTGTAATGCTTTGTAATTTTATATACATATGTATAAATATAGCTTTTTATAGCGAGCAAATTGTAAATTTAAATTGAAAGCTTTCCCATACAGAAGTCGAGGCGAAATGCAGGAATTGTAGCTTTCATCTGCATATCTTTAACGTTGACCACATTTGTTGCTTTGAATTAAGTCAAAACTTTTGTAAGCAAAAACACTGAGCGTTGCTGCAAATTCAATGTAAATTTTACATTTCCACGTGTCCGTTAACTTCACTATTCACTGCGTAAAAGTTTTAGAAGTTTGCTTAGAATTCTTGCATTATTTATTTCTTGTAATTTTGTTATTTAAAATAGTTTTTTTTTTTATTTAATTTCGTATGCAAAGCAATTTAAGTATAATTTACAAATAACGGTTTAGTTAGCAGTTAAGTTTTATTTTTTCTTTGCTTTTAATTAATTTCAAATAAATATTGAGTATTTTCATTAAATGATTTTACGAAATGAAAAGTGTTTTCTTTTACTATTATTTTTTCTCCATTTAGGTATTTACAGTTCATTTTCTTCAACATATCTCGTACGTGTTCGCAGGCAAGTTTGGAATGTCTGCTGTTTCAAAAAAAAAAAAACCGGAAATTTTTAATAAAACGCTAAATATTTAATTATTCATCAATATTTATCGGCTTTGTCGCCGTCAAAGTAATACCCACCAGATGTAGTACACTTATGCTAAAGATTTTTGCAGTGCTTAAAATACTTTTCATAAGCGTTTTAGGGTTGGCCTTCAGCTCCTTCGGCGATTTTGTTTATCTGTTCGTTCGACTGAAAACGGGTTCCACGGAGCGGCAATTTCAGTTTGAAGAACAAGAAAAAATCACACGGAGCCAAATCTGGTGAATACGATGGCTGATCGATGGTATTTATTCCTCTTTTTGGCTTTAAATTCGGGCACAATCATAGCAATGTTGCATAATGATCGTGTAAAATCCATGACTTGTTCTGTCACAATTCCGGCCGTTTCCGATGGATGTTCCCACGCATATGTCTCAATACGGCTAAATAGAACTTTTTATTGAACGTCTGTCTCTCCAGAACAAATACATGATGCACCAAACAACTAATATAAAAAACAAAACAAAAAAACAATGAGCATCACATTGAATTTTTGGTTTCGTCTCGTTTTTTCCCTCCATTCTGATGATTGTTGACTTGTTTGCAAGTCAAACTCGTAAACCCACGTCTCATCTACAGTTATAATGCTGAAACTCGCAGGATCAAGCATGTTCCAAGAGCCCTATTTACGGTACTCTTTTTGAAAACAATTTTTCAACGTTTCATACTCAAAATATTCGCCTAAACTCGAACGGACGCGCAGTAATTGGTTGAGCTCAAATTCTTGAACACTTGCCTAATGATTTTCCAGCACCATATCCTTCGATTTTTTAACATTTTCAACAGTTGAAGCGGTCGAAGTTCGTCCAGGACGATGCATGGCTCCAACGATTTCTCGACCGTCTTTGAAGGCTTTAGACCACTCATAAGCTTGTATATTCAGCACCGTAAGCATTTGCCAACATTCGCAATGAATTCGCACACGAAATTTGGTTAGAAATACAAAATTTGAAACAAATTCTTTACTCAATATTTTTATCCATCACTGAGGTGTACCGATTTAAGCAGCTGCTGTAAAAAAAAAAATGGTTCATAGATCGCGCTCATATTTGGCATAGTAGCTTTTTTTAGGCATATGGTTTTCAAGAAGAAATAAAAAGCATATTATTCAATGTTTTGGCTAAGAATCTAGCTTCATAAGTAAATAAAAAAACTCGCATCTAATCCACTTTATACAGCAATTGCAGCTGTATATCAGCAATAACAGACCGAATAAATAATCCCACAAAAAATAGTTCAGCGGTGTTATATCGCACCAACTTAGAGGCCACGGCACGAAGCAAAGCGAAGTAATGTGCACACATTCCTGCAATAAATTGATTGTTTCGTTGCATGTATGGTTTTGTAGCGGCCGGCTTATAGGCACCGAAGGTCGTCCACATAAACATCCTCTAATGCAGATTACGAACAAATTATTAATCATGACTCTATAGCGTTCCTGATGGGCTTTAACATTTTAGATAGTTTCATTTTTAAAATAATATGGAGCAATGATTCACACAGACCTTAGAACACATCACACAGTGACTTTTTGAGGGTGCAACGCTGACCCAACGATGATTTATAGATTGTTATCACTTCAAATGCGACAGTATGCTTCATTAACGTGTTCTTTCAACCAAAAGTTAGTTTTACGGCTGAAGGAGATTTTTGTTCCGAACCATTAGGTTGGTAATAAATTTGAATGATTTGCAACGCTATTTCGGAATAAGTCTGTTCATTATGAAATGCAGACCAAACTCAGCTGTAAAAAAAAAAAAAAGTTTTGCCTCATTCACAACCACATGCCTACAACGAGACCTCTTATGCGTGTATTTTTTTTTCAACAATCTGGCAACCTGTAGCAGGATAATTTTATGACCTTTAACTTCTATCACTATATATAGCGGTTCAGAATTTTTTGCAAGGCGATTAGTTTAAAAATAGCTCCTGTGTTGTATTTTAAAGGGTCAGACAAAGCTCACTTGGAAGATTTCAATTAGGAGATCAAACTAGTGAATAAATGATACGAAAATCTTAACATTTATAGGAAAATACGCACAAAAAAATTGCTGACTTTTTAGGAAGAAAAATCAATAATTTTTGAAAAGTGGCGTCCAATTTTTTTTTTAGAAATTACAGCATATTCAGTGACGTTTTCGAGTTTGTGAAACTGCGACAGTGTGCAACAAACCTGTCGTCGAGTTAGTGCGTCAAAAGACACTCCAACTTTTATGAGTATTTACAAATTTATTACGTCTTAATTTATTTATTTTATTTATTTAAAAATATATAACAGCCTTCATAATAAATATATCGCTAAATAATCCAATTTATCCAACAACAAAAGAAAAAAAGTAAATGAACAAATAAAGCATAACGATCATAAATGTACCACCTTTTCTACTCATAATTGTAGTTTGATAATAGAAACACACTACAGTTATAATCAATTTTAAAAAGTCTTGAAAAATATTAAACGTGTATAATCGGTCAATATACATACATATATATAGTATTATTGCCCGAAATATTTTATCAATCAAACTAAACGAAGTCTAATAATTCATAAAATTAACGTCCACAATCCGAACCTAACCAGTAAACCCTATCGAACTTCTCAGATTATTTTCGAAATATGCGAATCACTATACAACCTAAATCTATTAAGCCTAGACATATGAAACTAACTTCAATCTCAGTAAGAAACGAACCTCCAAACTGCTTTAAGAATACCAATTCCAAGTCAATATATTTTGAAAAACAAAAATATTTTTAGAATAACAAATCATATTAAACGAAAAAGTCTTCTAAAAATAAAAGAGCGACAAAATATTAAATCAAAAGCTCTTCTTATAATCAAAAATAAACAAAAGAAAACAAAATGTTTTAAAATTGTAATAAAAAATGATTCGAACACATTTGTACTGATTTGTAACTATGTTACACCAACCATAACCAACTCTAATAAATAAGTGAAAGCTTACACACTACTATAATATAATACAAAAACCAATATGCAACCAAAAATTTTTTAAATTCTACGATAACCGATATGCAACAAAAAAAAAATAAATTCAATATTTATAGATACAAACAGAAAGCTCTCTTGTATACAGCGAAAGTTGCATGCCCAAAAAAGCACAACCTAAGACTAACTGTGCGAAAGCTTACGAAGAAACAATTGACTATAGATATAGACTTTGGGCGCTTCGTAAGCTCGTCCCTACATACTCAAAGAGCTTGTGTGTAATAACTTACGACTTGTAAGCACGCACGTTTAATTTAAAATCAGAAGTTACTGCCAATTTCATGAGGGCTTTAACATTTTTATCTGTTTACAGCACAACTATGCTTTCAGTTAGTATTTAATATTTAATTAATACAACAATTTACAACTAAATGGATTTGTGAGCTATAAATATAACAGAATTCAATTTCCTTGGCTTTTATAAGCTTTTATAAATAAGTCCTAAAGTGTCAGTAGAACTGTAAGTAATGTTTTATTACACGCACTGCCAATATAAATGCACAAAAGTCATTTTTTACTTTAGAAATCAAAGTCTGCTTTGCATAGGTGAAAGCTCGCACAACTGACTTCCACCCGATTGTTAATTATACACATACGCAATTCTCATGTGGCAGTATAAAATAATATAAAACACTTGTTTGCAAATATTTTGTTTCATTTATTGGTATTTGGAATAACACACTCGTTTTCTTTACTCAAGTGAAAGCTCTTCCAAAGCTTTCAATCATTGTTACGTAATAAACTTCGCAAATTTTCTAAACTTGTTTCAAAAAAGCTTCCATAAGCATGAAAGCTCAACGAAAGTTCGCGTAAGATTGCATTGAGAAAATCGATCGACTAAACTAACGAAATAAATGTGTTT